CTCTCTCTCTCTCTCTCTCTCTCTCTCTCTCTCTCTCTCTCTCTCTCACACACACACACACACACACACACACATTTTTTATTACCGGTTCTATGGGTGTGGCTTGGTGGGCATGGCATGGCTTGATGGGCGTGGCTTGGTGGGCATGGCATGGGAAGAGATACTGTAAAATCTCCATTCCCTCCCCACTCCTGGGGGAAGAATACTGCAAAATACCCATTCCCTCCCCACCCCACTAACCTGCTTTCCAGCTCTGTTTTCCTGTGCAGGGCAACAAAAGAAGACCCAGCCAATCAGCTGGGACTTGGGAGGCAGAGAATAGATGGGGGCGGGGCCAGTCAGAGGTGGTATTTACCGGTTCTCTGAACTACTCAAAATTTCTGCTACCGGTTCACCAGAACTGGTCAGGACCTGCTGAATACCACCTCTGACACACACACACACACACACACACCCTCCAAGGCAGCCACTTTCCTAACTTGCTTTTCAGCTCTGTTCTCGGGGTTGGGGGGGAGAGAGAGAGAGATCTGATTTAACCTCGGAGGGCTGGCGGGGATGTTCTCTCCCTCCCTCCCTCCCTCCCTCTCTCCCCCTCTCCCTCTCTCTCTCTCTCTCTCTCTCTCTCTCTCTCTCTCTCTCACACACACACACACACACACACACACACACACAGGTCCCTTACCCCCTTCCAAGGCAGCCACATTGCTAACCTGATTTTTAGCTCCGTTCTCAAGGAGAGAGGGAGAGGGAGAGGGGGGTTAATTCTGCGATCCCAAATAAATTGGTAGGGAAACGGGGTCGGGGATTTTCCTGCAGACTTTTTTGGGAATTTTCCCAGAGTCTCTGCAGAGAGACTTTTTTTGGGATTTTTTCCAGGGTCTCTGCAGACAGAGACCCTGGGAAAATCCCCCAAAAAGTCTACAGAAAAATTCCCCACACCGTTTTCCTACTGATCAATCGTTCTTTATTTGGGATCACAGGATGCCTTTTCCAGCTCTGTTCTCAGGAGGAGAGAGAGGGGTGGGGAAGGAGGGAGGGAGAGAGAAAGAGAGAGAGAGACACTTTTGGCTTCATGCAAGGAAAGCAGCAGAAGTCTTTCTTTCTCTCCCCCAAATCCCGCCACAAATGAATCTTTGCTAGTGCAGCCTCTTGGAGCAGGTTGCCTAGACCTAGAGCACTTGCGGGTGATCTCAAATCCTCTTCTTGTCCAGAGAGGAGTTATTGAAGAGCCTGTCCACTTGCTGGCTCTTCATTCCACTGCAGCGGTCAGTGCACTGTTTCTTCCTTGGATGTCCTGCCGCTTGTTTTCTCTGTTATTTTTTTTTTAGTTTGTATTTTTTTAATCATTGCAATTGTAATTTTTAATAAAATTGCTATTTAAAATAATTCTCTCCTCCTATCTCACTCTCGCTACTCCCCATTGTTTCAGGCTGAGAAGCAAGATCTGGTAGAACCCTTCAACTTTGATTTGATCGATGTTGATTTGATCGATGGAGTCCCTCTAGCTGATGTTGAAGAATGGAGTGAGCTTTCAGATGCTGAGCGTCTGGGGAGCAACTTGCAAGCTTATTGGGCATTTCAGATTCTGCTGGATCAAATCTTGGAAGAGCAGAGAATTGATTTAACCCCAGAGGATGTAGCCTTCCATGAATCTATCCAATCAGTTTTGCTGCAAGTTTCTGCTTTAGCTTACCAGCTGGAGGAGCTGATGGTAACGCTGAAGCACAACGTGCCAGCCAAAGAGGTAAAAAATACAAGTAACCCTGATGAAAAAAGCTTATTTGAAAAGAAATTAAGGGGCATGAAGGTGCTACAGGAGCTTGGCCAGTGGACCGTCAGGTCAGTCCGAGACCTTCACAAAATCTCTACAGCTGTTCAGGCATCACCCACCACCGAGAGTGACAGCCTGGAAAAATGAGGATTCTGTTGGATTCTTAAGCTTCTTTAAAACAAGGTCTCTCCCTCATTTGTGGTGTTTAGATTGAAGCAGTATGGCCAGCCTGAGCAGGTGGAGAAGATTGGAATGAGTTCCCCTCCCATCCATATTAGTCTGTATACAGTATGCAGCCCATTCCTGAGTAGTGAAGAATTTCAAGAGTTCCAGTGCTACATGGTGACTCTAGGCTTGTAGTGTTATTGTGCTATAAGGTTTATTTGCAAATACATGCAGGCTGAGCACCGGATGGGTATTCATAATATTAACACTCCAATGGATTCCTGTTTCCTGGAGTTTTGCCAGGAAACTCTCTTTGCCTCTGTCTAGTTCCAGCCTAGACTAATTCTGTGCTTCGTACATACAATTCATTCATCTCCTCCCCATGATTCTCCAAGGAGGAAAGACTCATCCTCTTCCATTGCAAAGTTATTTGCCAGTGTGTTTCTGGTTGCCTTCTTCTCTGCTGAGAACTTAACCATGACTAGCAACAGCCCCTATGTTAGCTTTTAAGGGCCACCACTTTTAACGGGCATTGATTTTCCAAGTATGGCCCACAGAGGTTGATGAGGTAGTGTGTTGCAACCTTGCCACTTCAGCCCAGTGGTGTACCTAGCATGCCTGATGCGCAAATCAGATCCTTTTTATTACCTCCCTCCTGTGTCACCAAGAACTTACTTTGGTGTAGGGTCCTGTCATAAGCATGAAGCCAGCTGGCTCATTCATTCTCTCATAGCCTTAGGGAGAAAGCCATGGCAAACCACTTCTGAAAATGTTGGCAAGGCAACTGCAACTGTAAAGGGAACTTGTCAAAGTCAAATCTGATTTGAAGGCCTTTTCCTTCATCACTACTGTACCTGTCAGTTGTTATTCAGCGGATTAGCATGTTGGAACAGTAACCCAGATCCATACTTGCCGCTTGCCTCCTTGTCATCTTTGGCAGCACTCCCCTTGTGTCTTACCTGGGAGAGGGGGTGGATAGATCTCCCACCACTTCCATAGTATTGTTTCAGCCAGGCTTCTGTCTATTTTTCAGTAATTGGGTGGTCAGTTGACTTTAATCAGTGTGTAGAAAATGGGTGGAAAATGTCAGATTTGCCCTGACAATCCACCTCCCGGAGTCAACTCTCTACTCAGCTGCTGCCTCAAGTGATAAAGAAATACTTGATTTTGGATTATATTTTTGGTACAAATTTGACTTTACAGTAAAAATGCAGGGGATGGGAAGACATACAGAAATACAATTATATAATAATTTGTCAAAAAAGGCAAGTTTCCATGTTCTTATGGACAAAAACATAAGGAGTCTTTGTTTAACTGGAGGGTCATCACATTTTCTCTGAATTGTTTCTTCAGATGGCCATGATTTCAGAAAGTCTGAAAAACACTGCCCTAGGGCAACCACACTGAGGCACTACTTAAAGAAAGCCTTTTATCCCTCAACAGACAGAGTTCAAGCATCCTGTGAAATTTTAATGTGGTTCATTAGATTTTGGTTTAGTATGTTGTATAAATACGCCATTGTAATTTATAAGCTGTTTTCCCAATGGCATATGAACTCACCAATTGTGGATTAATTAATAAACCATGATTAAATAAACTGTGATTAAATAGGAAGGAATTGGATTCAGATTAACCATCTTTTATTTTCATTACTAATTTCTTTTTTTTTGAAACTTCGAGAACAGGTAAAGAACAAAAAGTAAAGTCCTTTTCTTAAGGTGGAATTAATGTTATTATTGAAGCCAACAGGATCAAAGTATATAATTACATTTCTTTTTTTATTTATTTAATTATCCTAAATGTATAACACAATACTGCTAAGGTTGGCATTCAGGAATGTTTCTTTGGGCTTCTCCTTTCCATTCTCATCAGCAATAGGTCATAGTACTCAGATGGGGCACAAAAGAAATAGGTGTATTTTTAAGGACGTTAAATCATTCCAAGTTCTAGTACCCTGTTTCTCCAACAATACGGCCTCCCCCAATAGGAAGTCCCCTCATGTTTTATAGGCATGAAATGAAATTAAGCCCCTCCCCCCAAATTAAGGCCTATATTAAAACATGCGAAATGGGGGGGAATGGTGGGGGTGGGGGGCTTGCCGTTAGGAAGTACTTTTGTTGCACACCCGGATATGGTGCTGCCTGCGTTGACTCCGATACGAAGTGCCCCACCAATGCCGAGGTCAACATCCAAACCATCGCTGCCCGCCCGCCTGAAGATGCAAGGCGGGGGGAATTAAGTCACCCCCGAAAAGACGGCCTAGCCATTTTTTCGGGGCTCAAAAAAAAAATAAGACCCGGCCTTATTATATGAGAAACACGGGTATTTAGTATGAAGGAATTTGGCCAAGAAATCATTTCTGTAAGTTTATATACAGATCAGTTTCAGACAACTATAACAAAAGAAATAGGATTCTATAGTATTTATAACTTTACATGCTTAAACCTAAAAAACCAATGAAAGTATGTAGTATAGGATTGAAGGCTGTTTTTCTGTTTGGGGCAGAAATCTCTATTTGGTGACCTTGGACAAATATAGGACTAGAGTATTTAGTGCATAAAATAAATTGGGAAGGAACTCCATCTCCTTCACTCTGCCTCTCTCCAAAAGGAAGGTTATGGAAATGGATTTATGCATGTAGTAGAAGGTAGGAAGGATTTGTGATAATCTCTCGAGATTTTGTACCAGAGTAATCCAAGGATTACTTTCCAGAGTAAAAGTAAATAGAATTAAGTAACATTGATGCAGTGCAAAAACTGATGGATGTTATTTTTGTATGGTCAAAGTTAAAATGGAATATTTTAAAATAGGCTGATCTGTAATATAATATATTTGTGGATATGTTTTTTCACATATAAAATAAATAAGCAAAAAGAAATTATTAAGCCAGAAAAAAATCAGTTCTATGAACATAATCAACCTTAACTTGGAGAAATTAAGCATTTTGGTGACAAAAGTAAAGACAGAAAAAGAGAGGAAGGATAGGAAGAATGTGAATAGGGAACTGTAATAAGGCTATGGAATTTTTGAATTTGTATTGTACTTGCCCAGCAACCATCTATTTCATTGTCCAAGTCTTCTGATTTCTAGATTAAAATGAAGAAGCAGGGATTGACCTGTACTGACCCTACGGGAATGTACTGGTTACTTTAGGACACAATGGCTATGCTTATGTCATGGCAAATCTTTAGCGCTGGCACCCAATTGATGGGCAAACAGAAAGGTATATCCTTCCTGGCAATGGAATGAGCATCAAGATGACTCAGCTAATCAGGGTTAATTTGCTGGCCAGCAAGAAGTGCACTGTCTGTGCGCTCAATTTTACTTTATGCTGCCATCTTTAGCCACTTTACTCATTTCTTATGTGTTGTCACCATATTGGGAGACTACAGATTGGGAAGTAGGGCATGATGGGCATCTCCTCCATAATGCCTGCTTGGAATGCCCTATGCCATAATGCTCAGCAACATTGGAAATAGGAACACCTTCTTTGACAAGACCTGTCAGGTTACAGAAAAAGATTCCAGAATATAGAACTGTAGTAAGGCTCTGGAAAAAAAACACAGAATGACTGCTGAATGAAAGGATTATTATTTTGTCTATGATGGTGATGGTGTGTGACTCTCCCCCCCCCCCTCAAATTTGGAAGAGCGTTTAGTTTTCCGAGGGGTGTAATTCCCTTAAATTTTGTGAGTTGTTTGCTACTATGAATAATGATAATGAAGGAAAGCCAAGTTGCATGAAAACCACTCTCTGAATAGTTGTCCTTATTGGAAATATTGATGTACAAAATTTGTCAAAGGTCATTGCTTGGCATGTAGGATAGGGGAGAAGGAACAAATAATTCTATTTATTTTTCCGTAAAAGCTCTGGTCATCTAAGCTATGGACTCTTGGGGGAGGGGATCACTGTTTCCTACTTACAATTTATACTTTTATATGTTATATTTATATGTTCTTTCATTGGGTTGAATCCAGACTTGCTCTTCTGCTAATGAAAGGCTCAGATTCTGTTGAAGTTCCCACTAAAAAAAAATTGAGAGAAAATAATTTTTTTAGTTCCCCTTTTTGCAGTCTTCAAAGCTGCCTCCCATATGATTTTGAAATGATCCCACAGTCTTCCAGAAAAGATTTCCAGCCAACCTAGAGAGGAAGGTGGATAAGGAACTGATGATAAGTATTCCTCCCTCTTCTGCCAGTAGGAATGCCTAGTTTCAGAATTGTGAAACTGGGCAGATCTAGAACCTGTACATTGAAGAAACATGAGAAATAATTATTTTTTTCCTTCATGGTGTCTGCCTTATCTCTATAGTAACTTGAATGTTTATTTATCCTCTTTTAAAACAACGTGAAGTGCTTCTTTTGGCATGTTTGTTCAGCTACTGAAATATACAAAATATGTGAAATGTAATCATTATGAATGATTCTTTATTTTTGTACTGTAAGCTAAATTTCTGATAGAAGAAAATGTCTAATAAATGTTCAATGTGATGTCTTTGATTAATGAAAATAATACTGACAGTTTTTGCTTGTAACATAAAGGTATAACTAGTTTGGTTAAAATTAATATTTTATTAAAATATTAAAGAGGATATTGTATAATCAAGTAGCACATTATTTTAAATTCAGTATATTCAGCTCTCTCAATAATTGCCTGTAGAACAAATTCCTTCTCTCTCTTCAGCTCTTATTGCTCTACTCAAATCTGTGGTGATTCAAGAAAAGAGAAGATGGAGAACTTGTCCAAAGGGAAATTAATTAATGTTTGGATACTGCTGAATGCATTCCTTTTCATTCGGGTGTTCTAAAAATTGTGGAAAGCAAATGTCACCTCAGAATAGGCATTCTGCTTTTACATGCACTGGAAGAAACGCCTCTTCTCAGACTATGCTAGCTGTGGCACATTTGTGTGTCAGTTAATGACTACCAATGGATGTTTTGTTTTGTCTCAGAGTGATTGTTTTATAGACATGGAAATTTACTTCGTGATTAACTCATATTATAAAGAGGTTTTATTTGAAGAAACCAGAGCTATTTATGAATTATATTGAAAATTGTTCAGAGATTTAAAAAATAAAGCATGTTATTTTAAAACAAAGGGTTTTTTCCCAATTTTTGTAGTAATTATTCAAATGGTAAAATAATTTCAAAATGTGGAATATTTCAGGCGAATAAATTATAAGCATTGGGGGAGGAAAACAGGAATGCAGATAATGTTGCTACCAGCAGAGAGCAGTGATAACAAAAACTTTCAAGCTCACCTTTTTTACTTTTAGAACTTCATCCTTCCAAAACAGCTATAATGCTGGAGAATATTTCCTGTACATTTTATTCCAAATCAAAAACTATTCAAGGAATCACTGGCGAGCTTTTGGGCCAAACAACAGTGATCTGTTGACATTTTCACCAGCAGTTGCAGCTGGCATTTTCAGAGGCAGAGTAAGGAACTGATTGGTTGAACTGGCAAGCAGGTTCATGGTTGGTCCACGCCATAGGAATCCAAAGGGTGGTTCCTGATTGGCTCAAAATAGACCAAATAGTTTCAAAATGGATCAGTAAGATGAGGAATCAGGGATCAGCTTATCAGGTTCAAAAATAAGAGCTTGGTCTTTGTATGTATTTGCAAAACATTGCTTAGGAGGAGAGGGATTTCTATAGCTGCAATTAAGTTTCCTAAGAATATGTAACAAAACAGAAGCTGAATCCTCTCCTGCTGTGTCAAGTTACCGACTGTGTTTCTGATCTTCTATTACTGAGCTACAAAAATTCAGATGACCACCAGATGGCAGCAAAGAGGCTGAGCGTTTCATCTCGAGATACCTAGAACAGCTAATCTTGGCAATTTTAAGAAGTGTGAACTTCTTCAACATGCTGGCTGGGGAATTCTGACAATTGAAGTCCATACTTCTTAAAGTTGCCAAGATTGAAGAATGCTGTTCTAGAAAATGCTCAACTGTGGGGAAGTCTGCAGCAAAAAAAGATGCAAATCAGGCAAAAGAACTGGGAGGACAAAAACGTCAAAAAATTATGGTTGGAAGATTATTGAAAATGGGAAATTCCAATGTTGGTTTGTTTCTGTGTTTGGATCCTCAGTGTTTCTGAGCTATTGCCATTAATTGTAAATTATCCCTTCATCATGGCCAAAATCTTCTTTATAATGTTTCAGACAAAAGTCCTTTTCAGTAAAGGGAATTCACAATTTTAACTGGAAATTTCTGCCACAGTATTACTGGCTATTTTCTTCTCTCTTGTCCATTATTTCATTATTTCTTGCTCCCTCTCCCGCCCCTCTCCCTCCTTCTCTCCCTCCTTCTCTCTCTGTGGAAGATAGCGTTAAATATGGTTTCCTTTCAATATTTTTTAAAATTAAGGCATAACTATATTTTGTAATTTAAAATTTTCATGAGAGAAAATTTTACAACACTCATAAGGTTTCCACAAGGACTGTATATATGCGGGGTGGGGGCAGGGCAGGGCAGGGCAGGGGAAAATAAATATCAAAGCTCTGTTGTAACATTGTTGTGTTGTAACATTGTTGTTCATGGCTGGGAGGTCAGTGCAAATAAAAGTAGAAGACCAATTAGCTCATACTTTTAAAAACTTTTCTACATCAGTCAACTTCCATTCTTATGGCTTCTGAAAGGCTTCATAGAAAACTCACCTCTTAATTGGCTTACGTCTCCTGCATAGGAATTGCTTAAAATGGTATACAGAATTCACAAAACAAAAATTAATGAATTACAGTAGCATTTCTTAGCAAAATTCCTCCATATGTGTATATCTGTAGTTGTCATACCAAAAATGTGTGTGTGTGTGTGTGTGTATGAACAAGTTAATAGTGATAGGCACTTGGCACGCAATTTCTTGCACATTAATAGTAGTTTGTAGAAGAGAATGATGTCCTGAACAACATGTTGAAGACAGAGAAGAAAACACACAGTGAAACT